CGTGTGCGTGTGCGTGTGCGTGTGCGTGTGCGTGTGCGTGTGCGTGTGCGTGTGCGTGTGCGTGTGGTGGGGGGGGTGGTGGGGGGGGAGGGGGCATGCGTGCGTGCGTGCGTGCGTGCGTGCTTGTGTGTGTCTGTGTGCTTGGACCCCATAAAAGAGCAAACAAGCTGGCCCACATGGGCCAACTGACTGCTCTCCGAGTTCAGCGAGTAAGCGCCACGTGGGCAAAGACGCCCTTCGGCCTGCGGGCCAAGAGCAGACGCGACGGCGCCAGGGCCACTCAGGGCACGAGCCCGAAACGCCAGAGGAACAAGCTCATGCGCAGAACCAGGGACCCAGCCCCGCAGCCCAACCGGGCCGCCAGACGCCCTGCGCCCAGCGGCCGACAAGGCCAAGCAAGGAAAGCCATCACGGACCACCACAGCCCGTGCCCGCGCGGCCGAAGGCGCGGCATGAAGTAGGACGACTTACCGATCAGAATGGGAAATGAGCCGAGCATACAAACGAGCTTACAAAAACCTACCGCAACCACACTTCTTTCGTGAAAAGCGTGCGATGCCTATCACGAGTTTTCTGAATCGCAACCGAAATAATACAAGTGGCACGTGCGTGCCCAGGCTCATACAAAAAGAACTGCAGCACGTAAGCATCGCAGAACATGAACCAGAAGAGGAGTAAAAAAGCGGGATCCGAAGAGGAGGAAGAAACCGCAGGGATAATGCAGCATGATGCCAACAAACAGCGGTGCCACAACAAAGATGCAAGGGCAACCTTGGAAAATCGTTCATCCTTACTGTACGGGTTGACTTGAAATACCAAACTCCTAGTGGGGGGTCTTCCATTCACGTCACTCCTGGGCAAGCAACCTAATGTGGCCCACCTCCATTCGAAACGCTGCCAATGCTAGCACATGTCCAATACCAAACCTGACCATCAATCGCGAAATCACGAGGAATTCAAACTCTAAGATTTCGGGGAAAAACAAATGTTACAATCTGTAGGTTGTCGCATAGAAAGTCCAGCCCCGAGGCGGGGTAGAGAACAAAACTAGGAATCTTCAACCACAAGAGCCTGAGCCACGACGCGGCGTGTGACAAAACAAAGTTCCGCCCAACAAACCAACGCGCCCCGAAACATTGCCGTCGCTCTGGGGGTTACGCTGCTGGTCGTGGGAAGTTGTGGCTCGTGCTGCGCTGCGGGGTTGTGCTGGCGGGTTGTGCTGAGGGATCATGAGACGAGCGCGTTCCAGTACTCGCGAGGTAACTACTCGCGAGTGGCCTGGATCCACCGCGGGGGATCTGCGATAAATTATTACATCAAAGCAGCCATGTGTTGTTCGGACGTTTGCAAGTCGGCACTTTGCGAGTAGTGGAACGCGCTCGGCGAAGAATGCTGGGGGAGTTGTGCTGAGGGGAGTGCCGGGGGTTGTGCTGGGGTGTCGTACTGGGGGGGTGCGCGGGAGGGCGGGCGGGGGGTATGCCGGGGGGTCGCGTTGGGGGGGATCGTGCTTAATGGTTGTGCTGGGGGGTGGTGCCGCGGGTCGCGGTGGGGGGTTGTGCTGGGAGGTCGTATTGTGCTGGGGACTTGCGTTGGGGGTTACGTTGAGGGGTCGTGGTGGGGGAGTTGTGCTGGGGTGTTGTGCTGTGGGGTCGTGCTCGGGGGTTGTGCTGGAAGGTCATGCCAGAAGGTTGTGTGGGGGGGTCGTGCTGGGGTGTTGTGCTGGGGGGCTTGTGGTGGAGGTTCGTGCTGCGGGGGTTGCGCTGGGGAATTTTGCTTGGGGGTTGCGCTGCGGGGTCGTGGTGAAAGTTGTGCTGGGGGCTGCGCCGGGGTCGTGCGGGGGTTTGTGGTGGGGGTTGTGCCCAAGAGGTGTGCTGGGAGGTCGTGGTGGGGAGTTGTGCTGGCGGGCTCTGCTGCAAGGTCGTGCTGGGGGGTTGTGCTGGGGGGCTTTGCTCGGAGGCTGTGCTGTGGGAGTTGTGCAGGGGGGTTGTGCTAAAAGGTTGTGCGACGACGTTGTGCTGGAAAGTTGTGCGGGGGGGTCGAATGGTTGCGCTGGGTGCGGGTGGGCAGTGCTGGGGGCTGGGGGCACGTGCGGGGGGTTGCGCTGGGGGGGTTGTGCTGGGAGGCTGTGCCGGGGGGGTGCACTGGGGGGCAGCGCTGGGGGGCTTGTGCTGCGGGGTGTTGCTGAGGGATTGCGCTGGGGGGTTGTGCCGTGGGGTGGCGCTGGGGGGCTGTGCTGGGGGGTTGTGCTGACGGGTTGTGCTGGGGGTTTGTGCTGGGGGGGGTGCGCTGTGGCGGTTGTGCTTGCGGGTTGTGCTGGGGGGTTTTGCTGGGGCGTTGTGCTGAGAGGTTGTCTTGGGAGGTTGCGCTGGGGGCTTGTGCTGGAAGGTGTGCTGGGGGGCATTGTCCATCCCTCTCCCCTGGGTGATTTGTGCTGGGGGCGCGTGCTGGAGAGCAGTGTGCACCCCTATCCCCCCTTGCCACAACACCCCAGCGCAACCACCAACACGACCACCAACACAACGTCATTGCCGTGACCATTTGTAGGACTAGATTGTCGAATCTCACTCGCGCGATGAC